CCAGGTCACCTGTATCCCTCTGGAGGGCCCAGAATTGCTCAGATGTTGCATGAGATAATTATACATATTGCTGCTGCAAGACAATTGACTACAATTTGTGCAGTTATTATGTGGTTCTCTCATATTAGTACATATAAAGTGAAATCATATATAAATGAGAATTTGTTATAGGGAGATGATAGTTTAATTTTCTACAGAAAATGGTGGATACTGAACTGGATTATTTCGTGTTGTGGTGTTGAGCCATTTGGCTGGATTCAGTGCCTGAATTTTAGCAAATAGATCCGGAGTGCAGGAAAAGAGAGTGAATCTCTGCTGCACTAAAGACCCTGCATGACAGAGATGAAAGAACAAAATACCAGAGTCCCTGAAAGAGGCTCAAGAACAGTGTCCTGCACAGAAACTCATGCTGCCACTGACCAGGCAATTCTTATCTTTTAGGCAAGCACATTGAGAACTCTGATTTTGGAACTGTTGGGAGGTGGCAGCAAGAACTAATTTATTTCTGATTTGGGAAAAAGATAGATTAAAAAAATGAGGAAGGAAAAAAAAAAGTAAGTTTCTCTAAAAATGGGATCCTATATTACAGCCAGATAGTTGAGAATTGTTGACTGGTCTAAACCTCTAATCTCTTCTGATTTGGTGACAATTTGTTTCTGCTTCCTGTATGAGTTAAAAGTGACTATTTTTCTCTTAATACAGGTGACTCACTGGCACAGTCCGTACTTTTTTGCCTACTACCCTGCAGCCTCATCCTTCCCAGCTCTTCTTGCAGATATGTTGTGTGGTGGAATAGGATGTGTGGGCTTCTCTTGGGTAAGTTTACTGGAGTATGTACTGCTATGTGGTAGTGGTGCCTCACGTTGCCAAGATTTTAAGCAATTCAGTAACATTCTTCAGTGAAATTATTGATTAATAGTGAAGTCACAGAACTATTTTTATAGATAAGTTTCTTTGACTGATTTAGTGTTTTCACATTGGCACCCTGAATGACTCCAGGAATAAAAGAGTATTTCCTCTTAAAACTTTTGCCCTTGAAAAATCACCAGCATTTAGAAGTAGTGGTAGCAAAGCAAACTTACTGGTAATTCATTAAAGAGTATGACTGCTGCCTACCACCTGGTGTTGTTACTTGTTACCGTATGTAAAAACCTCCACATTCACATGAGATGGGCTCTTCTCAAAAGAGGTTGCTGCTTGATGAGAGAAGTAAAATGCGCAAGATGCAAATCCTAGCTTTGACATTTGTTATCTGTGATTCTATGTGAGACCCGTTTGACATTTTTAAAGTAGGTATTAGAAACAACGTGCACAAAAATGTCTTCGGGGCTGTAATTTAGCTGGTGAAGTTAGCTAGTCTCTTCTTCTATAGTGAAAAGAACAGAGAGAGAAAGAGTTACCCTTGCTCTGGCTAATCCTGTTTCTCTTCATGGTCTAGTGAGGTTATTCCTTCTGTTCTATTTTTCAATACAGGCCTCAAGTCCAGCTTGCACAGAACTAGAGACTGTCATGCTGGATTGGCTAGGAAAGATGATTAATTTGCCCGAAGAGTTTTTAGCCGGGAAGGATGGGCAAGGTGGAGGAGTCATTCAGGTAAGAGCAGACATGAAAAGAGAATGCATGATCCTGTTTGTGGGCTTTATGATTTTGAAAAACCTTCATACCAAAACACTAATAAAGGAAAGATAGATTTTTTTTTTTTTCTGCCACGAGTTCCTTTCAGATTTTTTGAAAGACTGATGCTCTGTGAGACAATGTCCATAGGTGGGTAGGAAAGTAATGGGTTTGTTTTCAGAGAAGATGAATTCTGGAAGACTCTTCTCTGTGAGGAATTGCTAGTAGTTTAACTTAATAGCACAATTTGGACTTAAAATTCAAATCATAATGTTGAGAAAACGTGTAGGATGGAAACTTTAATATGTTGATGAAGTGAAGGGAGCTCATACTTATCAATAATGTGCAGCGTTGTTTCAAGGCTAAAAATAGAAAAACCTTCTCAAATAGAAATATAACTGAGGATTTTTAGTAGAGCATGGTTAGAAGTGGTTACAAAGGCTTCCCTGAAGACCACCTTACACATGTGCAATTGTTTGCTTCAGTCGGTTTCCAAAACAGCCTTCTTTTTTTTCCAGAAAAAAAAGTGTCAGTGATCAAGCAATGGATAACATAAGAGAGAATCTTTCACAAGTGAAAATAACAGAATGTAGTCAAAAATATATCAGTCTTTGTCAAAGAACTTGACATTATTGTAAGACATTTTCCTTATATAACAAAATGAAATATTAGAATATTACAATAAAATGAAGAGCTGCTTAAAATTTGAACTTAAACAGTTCTGTCAGTAGATAATACAATTTTCAGACTAGACTGCAGTATCTAAAATAGAACAAAACCCCCAAACTTTGACGTTGGCAGCTTAATGAAAGCCTACAATGTCTGAACAGGGTATCTGTATGATAATGAACATATCATCAATGAGCCAACTTGCATGCATAATAAAGCTATATTGTTTGTCAGCCATGGCTCCACTAGCACATGGTCTTTCAGCAAATGCGGACTCTGGTCACAGCCATCAATCTAAAATATGTCTCTCTACTGTCAAAAAGACTGAACTCAAGTGATTGTTCTGTGCTCCTTTGATAATCTCTGGAGTCTGGTCACTGGAAGCCAGGGCACAATCCATTTTATCCTAAGATAGGCTTCTAAAATAGATGCTAGAAGTGGGGGCTTCTTTCTTTGATCTCATCTGCAGATGCCTACAGCATATTCCAATTAGTTCTTCCCAGTGTCTTCCTAGGCAAGGATGAATTTAACCCAACTGCTCTGATTCTCCTAGGTGGAGCTGCACCTACACCAGTGTGTTTCCAGTATAACTCTTTCTTCATCTACTTCCTCTGTTGGGATCTTTGTCATTACAGTTACTAGGGAAGGTGTTATGTTCGAGAAATCAAGCTTTCGTCATGTGTCTCAGCAGTACTTACTTTGTACCAGTGAAAGCAAGCAATTATGCCTGATGTTTATCAGCAAGAAATATTGCCCTTTCAGGCTGACAATGCTGGATTGCCCGTAATTTTCATCAGAAGCCAGTCAGTTTCAAGAATCGAAAGGGGGCTCTGTGTTCCTGCTTACGAGGAAGTCATTTGTGGTGCAGATCTTCTTGTCTTGCTCTTGAAACAATAATGATACAAATCACAGAGAGTGAGGCAAAGTCAACACAAGCATGTGACAGTGCCAGTCATTCCCTTGGTAAATACCAAGTAATTATTGTGGTATTGGGTAAAACTCAGCCTGTGAAAATTGGCTCTTAATCACATTTGAAAGTCTATGTCAATATGAAGCACTTTGTTGTTGTGTGCAGGATGACACTTGAAAATGGCAAAAGATGAAAGAAAAATTCAGTTCAGAGCTCTGGTGGACATGAACATCAGCTCTTTCTGATATTTCTTCTGCCTCTTGAGCCTGCTTGCCATGGCAACCTTTGTTTGCTTGCGGTAAAAGGAAAGGTATCATCATCCTTCACTTAATGCAGAATACAGCATTCAAGAGGAGAAAAAACCAGCTTTTAAAAATAAGTAAGAAAGCAACTTTCTTCCTGAAGCTTGTATCCTGCTGTTCATTCTAGATAAACTGCTGAAAAGTGCACCTACTTTGAATTTTAAAGAGTTTCCTTGCACTGCAAAGAAAAAGTTTTTTCAGAGTGAAACAAAATGGAACTCGGCCTACCATTGGCCTGGCCAGGAACACCATTGATTTATCTTTCTTATCAGTTAGCCAGGTAGTTCAAGAACCAAGGTTTTTTTCCCTCAAAAATATTTCGCTGAAGACTTTGGTGCCAAGTGAATAAAAGAGCTGTACAAACCAGGTTCTGCAAACACTGTAAACTTTAGCATGACAAAAGGTGACTTATGGTGGCAAGGTGAAAAACCACATCTGCTGTGAGACATCCGAAAACATTTCCAAGTTGTCAGGTTCTAGTGCCTTTAGACTACATCCCAGCTGGATATCAGCAGGCAAGATTCAGTGGCAGAACAGGTCCTTTCCTTTTCATCCTCATTTCTCTGTAAGGAAATTCATACGAGAACAGTTATACACACTGACTACTCACCAGCCTGGATGAACAGCCAGGATGCCAAGATATCTTGTGGCACTCCTCAGAAGGCTCAGGCTATTCTTGAGCCTAAGCCATTTGCCTGCCCAGCCAAGCAGTCTCCAGAATAGTGGCGGCTTAAATTTCCAGATCTCAAGGGGTGCCTTAATCTTTGGAATTTCCTACAGCCATTTTCTTTTACATCTTTGTGCACATTTCTTTAATATGTGCAGTACTTAACATGTCCTGGTAAGACTGTAACAGTTTTACAGGGCCTTATCATTGAAAAAAAAAAAAAAAAAAGGAAAAAGTGCTATTTTCTCCCCATATATTTGAAAGATTGTCATGTATCCCTTAAATATGTATTTTGATAAAAGTAGTAAGTAGTATAATTTCCCACAGATTATTCCTTCACCTTCTGTTTCCACATGGAAGTTCTACCTTAGTTGACCCAAGACGGATATTTGTTTTCTTGTAACATTCTTTATCTGTAATATTTCTCTCAGTTGCCTTAGTGCTGTATGTAGCAGCAGCAGCAGCTGTAAGAAATGCACAAAACTATCTCCAGCTTGTCTTTGTGCCCTGATGCAGACTCTGGAGTCTACATTCCTCAAATCCCACACCAGCAGAAAGGCAGATAAAATATATTCGTCATGGCAATGCAGTTAGTAAATGTTTAGAAACTGTCCTTTTTCCTGCTTACTCCATTCATGAGGCTGTTGAATTTCAGCTGGATTAAGTTGACTCACTGTTGAGATGTTGACATCTGTAAAAGGCAGCTTTATCTCATATAAATAGCTCAGCTATCTTTTCTATGAAGAGAAAGTATGAGTTTAGGTCTGTAGGAGCATGCTCACCTCCAGTGAAGAAGACTTTCCAAATATTTAAACATTTGTTGTAATTACTAAGTATGCACAGGTCTTCTACAGACAAAGGATGGAATTTTGGTGTAAAATAAGAAACATCACTCTAAAATTAGATTTTTGGCACTGGTGATGTTTCTGAGACATACTTAATTAATATAAGCAACTGTATTCATTGCACTGTTACATGCTTGGCAAAGGAAGATTCATGTGACAATTGTTCAACTTTGAAAGCACCTAAAAACTCAGTCCTGTGTACGGACACCCAAAGCCATTGAAATTTGTGAACATGTCTTCATAAACTGTTACTTGTAAAGAAGCAGTTTAGAGCATGTTTCATCTGCCTGTTCTATAGAAAGAGCATAAGAAGAATTTGCGGGAACTTATGCTCTCTTGTGAAATTTACAGATCAACTGAAGCAAAAAACTCCCCTCTTTGTTGTCACAGAGTATCCAAGACAAAATATAAACTCGTGGTTTGTGGGTCAAAGTGCAATTTAGAAATAGCATGTCACTATTCCTTTCAACTGTGTCTTCTTGATGAAGAGAATGTATGCAACTAATATTTGTAATGCAGTTAGCTGTGTTGAATCATAGCTTTCTCTGCTTCTTCAGTGTGGTTTTTTTTTAGGCACAGTAATTGACTTGCCCAAGGTAACTCTAAATATTAAATAAGCGTCATAATTATGCATGTCGCTTGATAGAAATGAGAGTTGACAGTCAGATTCTCATGGAAGTTAAATATGCAGAAATCCAGCATAACAGAAATCAACAATTACTCTGCCATTGTTACTGGTTAACAAATGATTAGTGTCTGGTTCTTCTGCTTTTCTTCTTCTGGAATGTCTCCCTTCTGAACCTTCCTTCAATTTGTCTCACAGGGAAGTGCAAGCGAGGCCACTCTGATGGCACTGCTCGCTGCAAGAACAAAAACTATCAGAACGGTGCAGTCAGAAAAGCCTGAGCTAACAGAAGCAGACATCATGGGCAGGCTGGTTGCCTATGCTTCTGATCAGGTGAGTACCTCAAAAATGTGGAAACATGGGGCATCTACACTTAAAAATTTCAGCCATCTCAATAGGCAGGTGAATTAAGTGGATTGGTGACTATTTGGTTTTGCTTGTTGAAATCTTCCTGTACATCATAAGTGGGCTGGAATTTCATGTGTGCTTCCATAATACAGAGAAGAAACATCAGGAGGTCCGTTTTACATACGTATTGCTTCTTTACAAAAGAGCTCATTTGTAGTAAATAAAGATACTTGACTAAGGTGTTAATTTCTGTGGAGTAAGTCTAGACCATCCTTTATTCCATCTAGGCTTGTGTGTCCATGTGTCCACACATTAATTTTGCCCTACATACACGTGTGCAAACAAATACCTTTCCCTAACAAATACCCTTCTCCTGTATGCATGCAAGGATGCACCTGCATGCACATAGACAAGCCTAGTGCGTGTATATAAAGAAGTCATAGTACCTGAAGAAGCCCAAAACATTAGTATTACTATTTTTAAAGAAAAGAACTATGTATCAATCCCGCTAAGAAATCTTATAAGAAAACAGAAAACATAACCCTTGGTTTCTGGCTGTGAGTGGTATTTAACAGACTGAGTTAGGCTAAATTCTCAGCAGGCTGTAAGACCATGGGATCTTTTACTGTTAATGAAAAGACATTTCATTTTGTGTGTTCTGCTGTTGCTACCTTTCTGACACACTAATCCTACTGAAGGGCCAAGCAATGTTGTTTCTCTCAATAGTTCTGAGACATTTTATTCTCTAAATGTCAACGAGATAGAAGAATCTTTCTTAGTACTTGATGATTAGTTTAAAGTAATATCTGATTATGCAGAATAAAATGGACAGGTTTCAGCCTTACCTTGATTTACTACTAAGTGTATGTTAAAAAGCACTGGAGAAGAAGTTAAAAGTACACTTGAGTTTTGCTGCTGAGAAGAGGATCTACGCTTGAAGGGCGAGAAGAGTCAGGACAAGAAAATACAGGGAAAGATAATTGTTTTCAAAAGGAATAAAGGATATTTGTCCTTTTTTTTTGTCTGGGACCCTAAGGTCTGTATTGTGCAGACCACCAATCCCAGAGCTAAACTCTGTGATGCGCAAAGCCTTTTACTTGTTTTCATTTTTTTGTTGGATGTAAGTGGCTGACCCGAAATGAGGACTGACAGGCCTTCCTGCCTACTGAAGGTCACAGGATCTTATGTTTACAGAAGGATTTGCCTTAAGATATTGCTGACCTTTCAAAGCAGATTGTTGCAGAGCTCACCGGTCCTTCTGCATTAAGAGCAGACCTGTGTGACTCATAGGCAATAATCCACAAAAGAAAGTAAACCTAAGCCATTCTGTGGGCGAGAAAACCATGCGCTGACAGAGCATGCGGCAAGAACGCATTAGGAGGGAGATAAAAAGTTGTCCGGTAAGGAGATTCAGAGAAGAAAGCTGAACTCAGATCTCCTATAATCTTGGGTAGATCATTTTAGCTTCTAGGCATTTTGGGAAAATCTTTATCCCAATGAAATCATTTTGCTTTGTGTTAGTGAGTACAGAGCAGGACTGGCAACAAATCTTTCTCCAATAATTACTTGTGGGTTTGGAGATAACGGAAGAGTATTCCTGTCTGGTTTAGTGCCCAGGCTATCCTGGCTGAGGTTCCTTTTGCAAGTGACACTGAAAGAGAGACCTCAGGACTGAGAGGAGCATCCAGCTACACCTGACAGTAGGCACCTGACTGTTTGGCACCAGGAGAGGAGTCAGGTAGCTTTTTGAAGTTCTTAAATTTTCTCAGGCCAGTTCCTTCATGTTTATTTGGCTGCCTTAAGCAGCTGCCCACTCATTTCACTGATTTCTGTTTCATTCCTTGATCACCTCGAGAGTGGTGGGAGATTCCTAGGTACTTTGCTGAGGACAAGGAATTCCATGGAGCAGCAGGTTTCTGAAGATTCGTTGTAATGCAAAAGCCTCTTGGCAGTTTTAACCTTAAGATTCTGAATGTCTGTCGTTATCAGAGAGCCTTACTACTGTTTTGGAGACTTGAGGAAGCAATTCAATGGTTCTGACTGGCTATCAACCTCAGTGTATTATTATGGTTTTCTTATTTGCAATTCTTGTATAAATCAACTATAAAATGCCTTTTTCCATTGTGCACTTGAGTGAACTATGGTTTTGCTATGGTACACTTAGCAAAGTTTTCCACTTTGAAAGTTATATTTCAAGTCCAGAGTTCCAAATTTTCTCAAGTTAGTGCCTAATTAGTTAACCAAAATACCTTAATGAGAGGCACTGCTGAGATACAAGTTAATAGGAAATTTGCCTTTAAAATACAGCATTCCAGGGATATGTGAAGTTGAAAGGCACAATCTTTATCTTCATCTGGTCTTGTTCAACTTTTACTTTTGCTTAATCTTTTCCATGATTATATGCTAAAATAGAATAGAATCAGTAAGTGCTCTTGCGGGCACTAGCAAGAACCATCAAGGATATAATGGAGATCATGAATAAGAATAGTAATGATATGAAAAAGTGAGCAGTTTTTCTCTTTCAAATTAATGACAATAAAATTGCAGAAGGCAGAAGGTAAACTGTGGGGTTTTTTGTTGTTTTATTTGTGCTCTAAAGGAGAGTATTTTGTGGCTAAACATACCTTTTACTGTTAATAGAGTTATTATTGTATTGTACCTCACCAACTTCTAAGAATTTCGTAGTGATATCTCTGTTTATATTTACTGAGATATGCTTTATGTTCTAAAAATACTGTTTAAGGGAATGCAAATAAAGTGGATTATAGATAAAATAACATATTAAGAAGGATATTTCATTGCTTAACAAAATAAATGGACAATTGAACTACAATTTAGTCAGTAGGTAATCTAAGAAAAAGAGGTCATGTAACAAAAATATCTCAGTCTGTACCATACCATGATGTATATTTATGCAGAGTTGTGCAAAGCTGTACGTCATAAAAATATGCTAGTGAGCAACTGAATCATTATCAGGCAAGCTGATTATCTGCATATCTTTTGGTTGATTTAGAGCCAAATCCTGAAGCCCTTAATCAATCCTACCTAACTGTGAACATGTTAATTAAAGCTCTCACTAAGGTTAATTGAACTGTTGTTTGAATGATGCCATGGCAATGGTCTCAAGAATACTTCAGAGTTTTTATTACTGTTTTTTGTGTAAATGTATATATGTGTGTGTCTATGTGTCTGTCTGTCTGTTTGAAAGAGGGAGAGTGATGTATCTATTACATACCAGCAACAGTCTCAGGATGTCGAGTATTGATTTACTTCACAGAATTATTTTTTTCTTTTTAAATTCAAATGAACTTATTACATCCCAGTAAAAGGTATCTGTCTTAAAACTTGCTCATTTCCTTGCAGGCTCATTCATCAGTGGAAAGGGCTGCACTTATTGGTGGTGTGAAAATTAAAAATGTTTCCTCGGATGATACATTTCGTGTTTGTGGTTCAGCCCTAAAGAAAGTTTTGGATGAAGACAAAGCTTCTGGTCTTATCCCATTCTTTGTGAGTACTGTTTTTTAATTAATCAGTGGACTTACTGCTTCTGATAAGCTATTTTTGACATGAGTACATAATCTCATCCCTAAGAGGGATTGATGAGCAGCCTAGCTAGAACAGTAGGACAAGTTCCGTGAGTGTTCTTCACATGCCTTTCTGTGCAGGAGGAGCAACTAATCTGAGCAGCTGGTTACACTTCTCAGCAAAAATGTTCTTTTAAAAGGACTTAAAGTTATATTGGGCAGAAGAATAAATTGAGATGAATTTTATAGTTGCATATAATCCTGTGGTGTTACAATCTCCTAACACTTGAATTCTGAACTGCCTCTTTTACAGAGGTACACCTTTATTTTTCAGATTCTAACTTACTTATACGTAAAACAAGTTTAAAGTCAATAAATTAAATAATGGTATCTTAAACTTGAGGATTTTCAAGAAAAAATAGTTTTCCTTCCTCACAACTTCAGCAAAGGAATGAACCTCCACAATATACCCCAAATATCATTGAGATCAGACCTTGGCAGACAGATATTTGTGAGTATGTGATTTATCTCTGACAGGGGAGCTATAGGGAATCTGGCTGTGGAAGCTTTAGGTATCATTATTTCTTATTATCTGCCCACTTTCTTTTCCAGAGATTCCTGCTTCCATAGCAGTCTAGCAAAAGCAAATGTGTTCATAACTCAGTAGCTATAGTTCATAATCCCCAGATTTTTGACAGAGAACAGTGTTAGATTGGATAAAATTCTAAAGTTTGGTTCTACTATGACAAGGACCACCTGATCAAAAAGAATATTTGCGTCTTCATCAGATCTGCTCCTCCTGTCAGTTCAGAACACCATCTTTTTATTTCAAATAAAAGATTTTGCCTTTTTTTTTCAGGAAGTGAGTAACCTTTGATATGTTGCTCATTTCCAAGCATTATGCCTCTACAAAACTTGATATAGAACATGGGCTCTATAGTTCTATTAAGGGGTATAATATGCTACCAAGAATATGTTTTTACTGATCGCCACTGAAGAACAAGTGGAGGAAAAAAACCCAAATACTTTTAAAATAAAAAACTTTAGAAATTGGATTTTTTAAGAGAGTTAGATATATACAGTTTTTTCAGAAAAGTCATGTTTGACTCAACGGTTGTTTCTTTTCTTTCATGTGGTAACATTTTGAAAAAGGCTAATGTGACTTAAATTTCTATGAACTGTTTTTAGAAGAATTAGCAGATTAAGCTTGCTTATAGTCATGGATAAGTGCCAAATGGGACAAAGAAGCTTAAATTTCACCAAGCTCTTTTGAAAATATAATCTTTTTACTCTCTTGTTATTAAACTTTAATGTCTGGTTTTATGTAGTATGAGGATGACTGAGGTGAAAATTGTTTTTCATATGTGCAGAATACTGCTAATTTTTAGCCTGCCTAGAATTAGAAAATGCTTGGGGTGACCAAACACAGGCCATCAATTGCTTTCCGATATAATAAGACTATGACTAAGAAACAAAGCGTTTCTAGGGCTACCAAAATGAACTTTCTTCTGTGGACTGCACCTACTGAAGTGAAGATGTGCCATAAGGCATGTTTTATTTCTCTGTTGTGTGGCACCAGTTCTTAATATCATATATAAGATCCTACTTGTTTATCTCACTGTTAATTTTAAACAGTTACAAGCACAGCCCTGTGTCACATCTCTGTGTGCTAACTACAAAGTTAATGTGTTTTTCCTCATCTTTTGTCCATTAACAAAAAAATGCAACTCATCCCTCATAATTATTCATCCCTTATTAATTTTTCTGTGCATAGCAAGAGGAAATAAAAAATTCTGTTTCATGTATTCAGTGACACCTTTACAAAGGCTGATTTAACTGTTGTTTTTCTTCCTCTGTTTGCTTAGCTGTGCAAAACAGGCTTTCAAAGACAGCAGAGGCTCAGTCTGAGTTAATATGGCCTGTACCGGGTCTTCCATTTATTTGTATACATAAAACATGTCAGCTTAGATTAAACTAGATCTCATTATCCTTATGGTTGGCCTCTTAACTCGAAAGGTGTGTTAATTCTCTGTCATGCTGAGTAGCAGTCCATGCGCTATGTTAATGCTCCCTTTTCTGGCTGCAGATTTCAAAAGCCTTTCCATTTCTTTTGTTCTTGAGTAATTTGGTGGTATTTTATTTTGTTCTGGTGACAAAGATAGGCACATTGCCAAGCAAACACCTTACGCCACTTTGTTCCTTGTCTCTCTGTATTCACTGATCCTTCACTAAGGGGAGTGATTCAACATCAAAGCAAAAAGTTTAACAGAAGAAATTCCGCCTGAAGAGACTTGTGGCAACAGAGATCGCTTCTAATGAAGACATCTTGGTTACATCCAAGCTGATGCAGTCTCCCTTATCAGCAAAAAAGAAGTTTTGTAGGGGATTAAAAAGAAAATTCAAGCAAATTGCAATGCCTTATAGGCATGGTTCTCCTCTTATATTTAATGAATAAATGAGGATTAATTATGCTGAACTTGATAGAAATGCTTTGTGTGTCGAGGTGAGTGGAGGATCAGGGTTGTGTTTGCTTGATGTGAAACAGGTTCTCTCAGTACAGCAATCTGGTAATTACAGGTTTCCTTTTCACATAGGTAGGATTTGGCAGTCAGCCTTTTTTGACGAGAGGCATTGTCTTTAAAATGAGTCTTTAAATTCCTATCCACGATCAATATCTTTTAGCACTAGTAATGTGTGTATCGTTTTGTTCAGTGAAGCCAATTAGTGTACCCAGACTTCTGTTTGGGGGGTTTTTTTTGTTTCTAAGTTCAGACTTGTGTTAATTTGTCTCTTTCAAAATGCTTTTGCAGAAACTGAAACAGAGATATTTTCATGTAGTAAAGCAAGCAGACTGTGCAAACAAAGAACTTGGCTGTGTCAGGGGTTGAGGCATTGAAGTTGCCATGATTTACTGAGGAGCAATTTCCATGCGTGGCTGATACGCAGTCCTTCATCTGGTCACCAGTTAAAGGGGAGCTTTAAGGCACGTGCTGAAGTCATGTCCATACATGTTTATACACCAACTGGTGGTTAAGCACATGCGTAAAAGTCTTTCATAGTCAGCCCGATGCTCCCAGCTAGAGGCAGGCCTCTGTGTTGGATGAATATTGACCAGGATGCTCAGATGTGAGATCACAAAGTTAAGCACTGCTAAATTCAGACCTCAGGTCCACTGCATTCAATCCTAGTTCACTTGAACACGTGTAAGTGGCCTGTGAGCTTTATGCTTTTTCATAAATTCACAGATTTCTATTTGGAAGAGGTATTCTTGAGAGATGTACAAATATCTAGGGTGATGTTTCTTAACCCACAGTTTGTGAAGGGTTGCTGTTTCATAAAATACTCAACAGTGACTTAGTGAACTATAGCAGTTCTCTTCAAGCCACAGACATTCTGATGAGTGCAAGCTGGCAAACAACTGGGCAGGAGAAAATAATTACAGTAAGAGAACATTCCAAGTTCTGCCTCATTTTAGTTACTTGCAAATCAAATCTTTGTGGTGAAACTGTCCAAGATACATCCACACCTTTTTCAAAAACTGTAGGTCTTCCAGTTGAAAAGACTTGAGAGTCATTGCTGCCAGGTGGTGTGGTGGGAATTCATGCACGTTTCCTGATAGAGCTCTTAATTTCGGGAAAGCAAGACATGAGATGACTCGTGCAGGCATTTTAGCTGTTTTGTATTCGCAGCCAGGGCTGAGTCAAATTGGAAGTGCACAACCTGGAAAGGCTCAGGCCCGCAGGCTACGCGGAGCCATCAGTCCCATTTCTGTGATGCAGCCTGTCCCCCGCCCTTTGCACAAATGTGATTTTACCCGGTGTTATACAGGTTACAAATTGAGTTAGATTCATTGCGTAGTGCTGAAGCAGGGTAATGAGAGTCCTGACGAGAGCAGATGCTGCCACTTTAGGTGGTTTCTGAGAATTAAAACAAGTAGCTTTGAGGCTTAGACACCTGCAGAGAGGACAACAAAATTATTACAGAAGCTGAGGTCTACTTTACAGCATTTAAACAACTTAGCTTGTGTTTGAACTTAGCCATTATTTAAGCAACTAAGGATATGTTTGAACTCATATAGTCTCTCATTGGAGGAACATACTCCTTATTCTGATTAGAAGAGTACTTTAATTGCAGTACAACACTAACAACAATAATGTGTAACTTTGTGTTATGAAATATCCATCATTAGTTTAATTGCTGGACTAACCAAAGTAATTTCACTCTTATCTTGTTAGAAAGTCCACACCATGTTATCATAAAATATATGTATAAAAGCAGAGTCTATAGTGCACTTTTTATTTGGGTGTGTTCCAGTTCAGTGGGTTAACCCCTATTCTTTATGTATATAGAAAAATTGGAATTTTCATCATAGTATCCTACATTTCTTGTGACTCAATTTGTAGATCTGTAGTTCAGACAAAGATGAAGTGCATGTTTCTCCTGATTTGGGGAACGAATTAGGTAGACAATAATGAGATAAATAGATTTTTGCTCCATACACTCATGCCCTCTAGTAAAAAAAGGAGCAAACATTTTTTTTAAAAAAAATATTGTCCAATCTTTTTAAAGCAGCCTCCCTCAAAGGATTATTAAACTTCCAGAGAAGTTATAGACATACTGCAAAGACACTGTAATTATTCTGTTCTTCTCATGTGTCTCAGAAATTTGGGAAGGCCCGGTTATATATAAAGATTAGATTTTTTTGAGGGAAAAATGTGTTAACAGCAAAATTGTGTTAACTCTATATTCAATGTTCTTCTCATTTTCAGATATGTATTTGTTTCAATAGTAGCTTGATATGGAAAAATACTGAATCATCCTTTTCTTCTTTTAATAACTTTTCCCACAGACAATATTTTATTAGTGCAATGAGCAATGATTATAGTTATTAATATTGCTGTAATTGTGAAGTGGGGGGAACATGTGTGCTGTCAGGACTAACATGTTTTCAGGGTTTTATATGACTACATTTAATCAGGTCTGCCCTATATGAGGCAGGATATGACTTCCTCTAAGAGTGCACATAGATTTATATGAATTGAGTACTATCTGAGTACTATGCATTAAACAGAAAAATTCAACTCCCTACAATAATTTAAAGTACCTCTGGGGTGTATGGTATAATATAGATGCAGGTATGTTCCAAAGTGTATGTAAAATGTTTTAAAGTGTACATAAAAGAGAGGTTTTATCTCTCTAGCAGTAATTTACTGAATTAGTTCAATATTCTTGGGATGTATAGTTTTAAATTTCTGTTTTTTGGAATACATACCCACTTGCCTTTTTTACTGGATGTTTATTTTAGTGTGGGATTTCCTAGAAATTTGGAAAAATCTAGTTTAATAAGTAGCAAACCAACCATTTCTGATTTTGCATGAATTCTCTAAAAACCTGGAACTTGCAAATGAAAATCCCATATATTTATCCAGCTCTTTGTCTCATAGTCAGATGATTTTTTTCCAAGATGCCAGGCCTTTCTAGTATGCTCTTGCTGCTTTATTTCATAGAACAAAAAAAAAACAACACAACTTGAAGGGAAATACGAAAAGCAAAAATAAACAAACATGTTAAAACTTCGTAGGAAACTATTGGGAGGGCTAGTTAGGGGAACCCTCAAGAGAAAATCAGCTCTTAGCCTTGAGATACTTACAGGACCTGCTTCAAGATGTGACTGCAGATTATTTTTAACAGCCTCCAATATCCAGTAACTGGTAGAAGTCAATAAAATCTCTAGCTTGAAAAAGCAGATTACAATTTAGGAATAAGAATGGGTGTTCAAGGGAACAAATAAAAGGATAAAATATTGGTAGCTGTCAAGCAGCCTGTTTTAATTAAAGTAGAAATACTTGGTGAAAATCTGTATCACCTTTTAGAAAAGAAGGAAGAAAGACCCTCCTGCAAGAGCTGGCATGGTTTGAGTAAGGGGGACTCCTAGAATTAACAAGGTATCAGTGAAATGCAGAAGGCAGTTTGTGAATGTCTGAGGTAGAAACATGGTATTAGGCTAAAAACAGATTATAGGATTTTGGCAAATAATTTGCTAGTGACATAATAACATGAAAGTATTTTTCTCAGAAGTAGGAAGCTCGTGCTAGAGGGAGGCTAAAAGCCGAAAGCAGGTAAGGCCACGTTAGGTAACATGAATTTCAGCAAAATCTTTTGCTACAGAAGTACTTTCTCCTAGCACAATAACTATAATAAAACAGGCCCAAAGTCCAGCCCATCCCACCCCACATGCTCAAGCCACCAGCTGCACCTCTCAGTTGGGCATACTTTATTTACCTATTTAAACTGTCAAGTGTCTTTTATAATATAAAAAATCCAGTACAAGTCAAACACAGACCCAGCCTTTATTAGTGTTTACAAAAATGAGACAAGTGTTTCAAACCTAAGTGTAGCCATGAAAAAGAAAATGTTAGGATTTATGCACTTGGTAGTTGTTTTTTCGGGTTATAATTCCCAGCAAATTACCATAGCTCATTTTTACCTAGTTATGTTCTCTTTCTACCGTGAAGCTTCAGCATTTATGTTGCCTCTGCTTTTGGCCCACCTACATTAAATGAGACCTTAGCAGAATGACGGAATAATGGTTCCAGTGCTCTAAGATGAATTTGGGAGAAAAAGTTTCTCTGGGAAAAAATGTTGCAAACTTAGTAGTAAACATACACTATTAGTTGAACAGGCCCTAGGCTGCAGGGTCATTGCACCCACATCAGTTACAAGTCTCTATTACAGAGCTGTGGCTGTTTAATTTAGACAGTAACATTTTATAATCCTTTCTGTCAACAGGAGTTCCAGCACTTTTAAGTTGCTCAACTTGAGAGCTTGTTTATATAACATAAATTGCAAATCATTTTGATGATAGTGTTGAACACCTAGAAAATATATTAAATACAGCTTTAATATAACATTGTGACTATATTACATATACATATTGCGTACCGTTCAATTTTCCATTAACATTTGATTTTATGCATCTGTCTCAATGGACTCTTATGGGAGCTTTGAAAAAAAATAATTCTTAAATTACCTGAAGAGCAAGTATTGGCTAAAATCAATCTCTTTTGCCCTATATCATCTATTCTCTCTGTTTATTGTTGCCTTTGCAACAGTTCGTTTCATTGGATAATGTTCTTTGCTGTAACACTTAAATTGTTTTTGCTTTTGTCTTTTTGGCTCTGCAGTTCTGTGCAACACTTGGAACTACGCCTTGCTGCTCTTTTGACAAACTGTTAGAACTGGGTCCTATTTGTAAGTCTTTGCTGCTACTTTCTAAAATTGCAGCTACTGATCTAAGACACACTGAGTCACTTTGGGGACATTGTGCAGCGTCATTATCTAAATTCAGTAAGGCTACTTATAGATGAGACCTTCAGTTACAGTTTTCTTTCTAATATTAGGTCAAACAGCAAGCTTGCATTCTCAAACATTAAAGAGAACAGACACCATTGCCTCAAGGGTTTTTTGGGGAGGGCAAACTTTGGAACACTGTCAGTAAAAAATCACTATAAGTGCTTTAGCTTGTAACTTTTTTCTTCAAGTCCTTCTACCTGCAAGCACATCTAGAGCCAAGGTGAAGATCAGGGAAAAGCTCAGCTCTAATTCTCCTCTGCACCAAGTGTTTTGATTCTGTCTGGTTCTAGAGACTACACATGAAGCAGGGAAATATGCACCAGATATCCCCATGTATTGTCCTTAACCCACTCAAGTCCTCCCCCAGTTTGCAAGAAAACAGGACAGGTGCCAGGGGTGCTTAATACAGTGACTGAGTCACGGAGTCTTCATAAGTATTTTCTGTGTTATAGTCTTTGTGTGAAGCTTTGATCCACCTCAAGGCTTAGTTGAAAGCACGCACTTTCTGGCTGATGAAAATTCAACAGAATTGCACCGTATCTATTTAAATGGACGTTTAGAACCGGAAACTTTATAGCTGTAAGCAATTGGAAGCAGCCTCATAGAAACAGAGCTAGGGTTAACATTCTGTTAATTTATCCAGGTGGAGCCTGAAACACTGGGGGTTTGTGTGGTGGTAACTTGCTCTGTGAGGATTCCTGCCCTCAGCACAAGCCCCAGGACTCGGTTTCTCTCAGTCCTCCTTTCTAAAAATGTTTCTGGTTATCTCCTTAAGCAACTAGAGATTATTTTGCTGTTCAGGTTATTCCCATAGACCTGACCTAATAAAATAGTGACAGCAGTTCTTTGGGTATAGCAACTAATCATAGAATGATAATCATGTGTGTTTCACGGGTTGCTCTTAAGGAATTTCCTGCTTGTACAGCAGAGACCAGCAGAAGGATTGTGCACTACTCAAATCATAAGTCTTGTGCTAGTTTTTCTGGTGCAGCTGAATTTTCTTCTTAATATACATGGACAGCAGTCCTATGAAATAAAGGCAGCATCTCAAACCAAGTGTATTTTAAAATAAATAATCAGTAGAACTTTGAACATGTTTTAAAATAAACCTGTTGAGGATGTTATGAATAATACTTTATCAGCTTTTTTCAGACGTTTATTCAAAAAAGAAAATGTAGTTCACAAGAATGACATTTCCAGCGTGAACTTGGTGCCTAATTGCAGATCTGAATGGATATACCTCTGTATGGGGAAAGAGCCATCAGAATTATTTCTTGACCAGTGGAAAGGTGTTGTATGGGCCTCAGTTACCAACCCATAGACCAGAATTGTTACTGTGTGCATTAATACAGGTGATCTGTAGCAGAGTGTGGATACTACATTACAGAGCATACACGAGAGGCTCATATGCTAAAATATTTCTTCAGAAACCATTCAGTGACTAATCAAAAGTAGCACTTTCTTAACCTTTCAACGCTTGCTCCTGTGTGTCTCAGTCCTTGAAATAGTTTGCTGCACATAGTTCAAAAGCATTCACGTGCACATATATCAATACGTAAAAAATACTGTTTAGAAATATGTGTTTGTGATTCCTGAGCTAGAAGTGGGGAGCACAGCCAAAGCTCTATCTTATCCTGCTAAAGCAGATAGTTTTATTACCATGGAAATGATAACTACATCTCTAGATACATCTTTATAACGTGCAATTTATAATGATTCTTAAATCAAAATAATGCAATGTTTTGTGTTGCTTAATTTCAATAAGATAAACCTAGGTATGTGAGGACTCTTCCACTAGAAGTGGTGAGGAAGATGAATATGTTGTGTATACATCTGTATGTATTAACGGATACTCAGATGATAGAAACATTTAATCTCTTAATTTAATTTTAAATTGGGAAAATAATAACATCAAAGAAAAATCTCTAGGGCACTTGGTTTCATGCAAATTAAAAGGTTTTTTTAATCTACTGTTTAATTTATTTTCCTTTCAATCACTTTTTTTTTTTTAGGTAATAAAGAAAATATCTGGATGCACATTGATGCCGCCTATGCTGGGAGTGCGTTCATCTGCCCTGAATTCAGGCATCTTTTAAATGGAGTGGAGGTAAATGAAGTTTCTTCTCTAGCAGCCTGCTAAAACCTTGCTCTTCCGTAGGATTTGACTGTTCCTTATGCATCCAGCATTAATGGCTTTTCTAGAATCTCCGAGTACGCTGCACTTCAGTTTGCACTACAAATCCCTGTATATTCTGTAATAGGTTCATGTAATTTCTTATGGGTTTATTCTGGAAGGATGCAAGTTACCACAGTCTGTCATTCAGCAAGTGCCTTGCAAGCTAGAAAGGAGGAACTTTTTCCAAAATTTCCAAAAAAGCATGTTTGTAGCACCTTAATTCTACATTACACAAAAAAAGAAAAAAAAGGAGAAAGAAGTTCATCAAATTAATGAGCTCATTATGTCTGATTTCTTGCTTACATCCTGAAAGTCGTATAGGATACAGCCAGTAGCTGTATCTCGAACAGACAGGGTTTAATAACTGAGACAGCTAAATGGAATATTCTCCCAACAGCACTCCCGTTCCTTTCCCCCCGCCTTGCTGAGCTACTTGGCATTCAGTCGCTTAGATAAGAATACTTCAATTTCCTGCTGCTCCCCTCAGACAGTTAGATAAGTCCTTGTCTTCCCCATCAATGGAGAAAATATTACTGTTTGGTAAAGCCAGAAGTTTAAACACAGCACTGATAGGCAGCAGCTAATGAAGAAGAGGAGGGAAAGCCCCTCACAAATAAAGCATTTCTTTCTGCCTCTTTTTATCAGCAAATGAAGCTGCTTGTAATTTCCTGTGGGGGCATATTTTTTAAATTACTGTTATTGGTTCCTGAAGGAAATGAAACAGCATCCCTTGTCTGGGCCAGCTTTTGTCATAAGAGTAAATATTTAACAACCATGAATACGTTTCCTACCTTACATAGTACAGGGAGATAGCTAGATAGATGTATAGATAGATAGACAGACAGATAATCTACTCTTATGAGAGCAATTATTAATTGTTTACAAGTGACAGGGAAGGTTATGAGAAGCAAATGAGAACACAGAATTGCGATACGGAGTAGTCAAATCCTGGTGCTGCCAGACCTCCACCTCTCTTTTTTTAATTCTAATGGCTTCTGCCATTGTCAAGCAGAAAACACGGACGAAGCCTTTCCCACACGACGTCTGTCTTGCCTATCTGCGTTTCCTCTGATGACATGCCTAAACATATGGCAAGTAAAACAGGCCTGTTACATGATTTATACAAACATGTATTGGGAATGCTTATTCTATGTGGGTTTTTCTTTTGACTTAGATGAAAAAAGGACTTCTACTAAGAGAAGTACCCTGGCAATAATAATTTTTAAAACAGGTTATTTCCTGATCAGTTGTAATTTTATGAATGAGTGTGATATGCAGATTCTGAACTAAATATATCATTTAGCATGTATATGTTTAATTTTCTTGCAAACAGAAAGCTTAGGGAATTGTTATTGGAAACTGGGATATGGACCACAGTAGATGTTCCTAAATATGCAGGGGTGTTTTTTTAAGTTTACACTGAGATACATTTTTTTCCATAACATATGTGTCTAAAATGTGTAATTGTTAGCAAATGCTCGCAATGTTGATAATAGCCTAGCTGTGTACCTAACCTGAATTCTATCGCCCAAGTAAATGAAGATTTAACTGCAACAGAGTTACTATGTAAGGTGACTTCAGCATGAATATTATGAAGACCCAATTCAGGAATTCGTTTATAGTTAAGGCATACTCAGACAATTTGACAAAGTTGTATCATTAGCACATGGAATCTTTGTTCTTTTGTAATTCTGTTTTTTATTTATCCATTCTCAGTTTGCAGATTCATTTAACTTTAATCCTCACAAATGGCTGCTAGTGAATTTTGACTGCTCTACTATGTGGTAAGTATTACAGTAAAAGGAAACATTACAAGAGGCAAAAGTCACATGTTAATTTAGTCTGCCTTTCTAGCAGTAGACATTTATTTATATTTCTCCATTGAAATAAGGAGTTCTGGATAGCTTTAGCTCTTGTAAATTATTTATAAAATTCACTCTTTCATTTTCAAGTTTCAAAAATGTAAAATTTAGAAATAAGCCTGAGCCTATGTTCCAGAGAGAGAGGGAAATCCTTAAAAGTCTGCGTATTAATACTTGCTCCATTTTGGGACTGTTTAAAAGATAAATAAAAACCCCCCTTCATTGAAGGATGTTAGTGCAATGAACAGGATGCTAACCAGAGCTTTTTTTCTTCTCCATAAAATTTCTTTTTTTGTTTGAGCCTTGATTCTTTCAGAAGCCTTTCTAAAAATACTTGGGATTTGGCTGATGAAAAGCAGCTGATTTCAAAAATGACTATTTTTGCAGTTCTGTACTGATTTTGAATTTCCTCAGATGCCAGCAGAGATGACATTTAATATCAAATTATGCCAAAGTAGAAACTCATAGACATACTTTGAAACAAAGCAAAGTATCATAGCAGTAATAATAGCAGTTATAAAAACATCCCATGATAGATGATCCTACTGCATCCCAAACTGGCATTTCCAGTACCTAGTGTCTACCAGAATCACAACTAATGATACTTATTAGCAAAACAGCTATTCAGTAAATGCAGATTACTTATCAAAATAAATGAAAGCATTAATTTGAGTTACAATAGAACAAAATTTGAAAAAAAATGAAAAAAAAGGAGAGCTCTAAAACATCATCCAGAAAGAAGTCCCCATATTTAATAGAACAATAAATGTGAGACAGTGATCTCTTAGTTACCTTTGGTTAACCTTTGTCTCTTTTAATATCCTCAGCAGAGTTGACTTTTCCACAAATATGTAGATTATTCAGATAATACATTACTTTTTTTACTTTAATAGTTGTCCTGATGTGGGTGCTTCCAATCAATTATGGTGGATTTTTTTCTTTTCCTTAGAGTAAATAGTTTACATTTTGATCCTTATTCATCAGTAGTGGCAGTGATTAACCCACGACTCCAGTTTATAAGTGCATCATAACTAGCTGTCTCTCTCTGGATATGCAAATAGGATGGCAATGAAATTCTTTTGCTAGTTTCCCTCATCTTTTTCTTATCGCTCCAAGACATCGTTAGCAAAGTAAACACTCAGAAATGAGACACAGTACACCATCATTCTCTTTATTTGTAGGACAGTTACGGGCCAGAGTCTACTGCCTTACCAGTTTAATTTCTCATTAATTCTGATTTCTCCCCAAACCCTGTGGGACTATGTTAAAAGTGTTTTACCTGACTTGTCAGGAAAACGAGGTCTATATAATCACACTGTCAGCTTATGTTCCCACCTCACGCGATAATTGCTTCTTCCCAGCAAAGCTTAGACTTAGGAAAGTATTTTTCTCCCTTTTGTTTCTTGCTTTTTTTTAGATAAACCATTGCATAAAATGCTTGTTTTTATAGAAAGGAAGATTCCATTACAAGGAATCTCAAGAGACGCCACAACATGTCTCCTTGCACAAAGTGAAGGCTTCACAACTATAGCCATTTGGGCTTCATTTCAGCAAGGCACTTATCTCTAGGTGTTATTCACCTAACAAAGAATGAAGTTAAACTCTTTGGCTTGAAGTCAAGTCCATTGTCCAGCTACTTCAAAGGCCCATGTCCAAAATTCACCTCTCTTATCAATGGTAACACTGCCTGAAAAAGTGAAGTATAATAATAAAGGCTGAAGGAAGCTGGTGAGAAAAAGTGACTGTGAAGGATACTTAGTCCTTTCAGGATCCATGAGTAGTATTAACTATGATGTTGAAATAATATGCGAAGAGTTCATTAAACAGTAAACACCATTTCAGAATCAAATTAATCTGAGTTCCGTTGATGGACAGGCTTCTAAATCACCCAGGCTCCTCAGCATTATATCATCTGGATATGTCGTGG